AAAAAGGCGCCGGTAGGGCCAAGATGGAACATGGAAAAAAAAAAAAAAAAAAAAAAAAAAAAGCACATAATCATAACTTCAAATTTTTCTACAACACTCCAGAGAATCAATCTCTCGTACCTTATCTGTGATCTTAACAAAAAGGCTGAAACCCTCCGACGATTTAAGCATCAGACGTCCCGAAATGTTGTGGCAGAAGTCTTTGGCCTTGGTGCTGGACTCCACTTCGAACACCTGCGAATGCAAACGGACCGACCTGAACACGGCAAGCGTGAAAGCAAAATTGTTTGCGATCAAACATACAATGCAAGTGTTACATATCAAGCATTTGATCAAAGGGGGTGTCGCTTATTTTTAATATTACCGCTCACCTCATCCGAGTCATCTGGGAAATAAACTTTGTGGAAGATCTGGGTGGTTTTGTGCTGGATGGCTTCCACCTCGACCAAGTGAGGAGGGTATTTCCTCGACCCATTTCTACGACCAATTACAAGCCGAGTGAGATTCACTGGAGCAGAATAGATCGTAAGAACTAGGGCTGAGTATGTGAGCGAGTGTTTCACCGTAAGGCTTTCTGCAACCGTTGCATGCAATCCGGTGCCAGAGGGTAATGCTTCTTGGCTTGGAGGAACTTCTGGATGTGAGGGAGCAGGATGTTGCTGGGAGGAAACAAACCCGTGCAAAGCCACAGCAGCTCCCATCCCTTCTCCTCGCTGTACCTGAGAAGACACCCCCAACGTTTTGTTGAGCGCATACATAAACGCTCTTTGCACGAGCGTCCGTTGTTGGGTTGATCTTACTTGATGTGATTGTTGGTGAGCTGTTTGACGATCTGACAGAAGATCTCATCTTTGAGCGGCTCGGCCTTCAGTGCTCCCTCGAAGATCTGATCGGTGAGTTCGTTGACCGAGCGCGCTCGTTTGGACGGGTAATCGCCCATGTACTTCATCAGAGGTACGGCCACAGTCAAGGCTGTAAACGGCTAAGAGCAACTTAAACTGACTGTGGGGTGGACTTTTTCGGGCAGGCAATCATTGGTCATAAAGTAGGACAGTATCAGCAAATGTAATGCCGTTAAAGATAAAACTGAACCAGATTTGAGTAAATTGGCAATACAACTAGCACAGAAAACGCTATAGCTCTTGGCTAGCGCTAGCATCAAGATCGTTTTGGTGTTATAGGTGCAATCCTCCGTTAAAGGATATCCATGAACGCCTGGCAGGCCTCCTGGGAAAGCTCCTCATGGGCTAAGACTTTCTTCAGGAGAGGCTGCTTGAGAGGCTCCCGGCTGCAGCTCCACAGACGTTCCTTCCCTCGAGTTTTGGAGATCATCACCCTGCCCAGAGTGCTCTTTGGTGGAGGCCTGAAGACATTGCAGAGAAGAACGATGATTTGTTACAACTGTACTGTATCTTGGGAAATGCTATGCGTACGCGAAGAGTTAGGAACCTAAAGTAATCGTAGGAGAACTCCTCCAACGTGTAAGCTTTGCTTTTATCTTCGCTGTTGGCAAGGCTCATCTGGGACAAGGTGACAGATTCGCGCCGCTGATCCGGAGTCATCGTCACCAGCTCCTTTGATGAATGAACATGGAAGGCTTGAAATAAGGAAGCCAACAAAAAAACGAGACTTCATAGGTATCACTCCATTTGGCCTCACTCACCACGATGTCATATTGAGGTCTGGTGACAGTGGGCAGAACGTAGACGCAGTCGGCCGGGAAGTCTCCTCGTTGTTTGGTCTTGTCGTTGATCCCGTGAGCCCAGCCAGAGTTCATCACATGCTCCCCATCGTGTTCATCCAGTATGATGAGATCCCCTTTGGAGAAACTCAGGAATGTGGACTCCGCACCTGCTAGGAGACCCAAGACACACGTGGCAGTCAGCTAACATTTCTTCAATGATAGGGACTTGGAGAGTCTCACCAGGCTTGGGACAGTCTATTAGTCCGACCACAAACTTGGACCGCTTCCTCAGACCTTCCAAGAATGCCACAACTAGGTCCCTGATGTCCTCCGCATTGTTGGACGTGAACGTGTACTCATCTCCTTTGACGGTGGCCAACGTAAAACTCTGGCCTTGGAGTTTTCCTCCCCTGCGAAGGTTTCACACAAAATCAACCTCAACAGAACAGGACGTCCATAAGCATGAGATCACTTGCATAATACCTGCTACTGGAGACAGCAATTATTTCTGGGAAGGAAAGCTCCAGAAGGACCTGCTCCTGCTCGTCGACAAAGTAAACGCCGGTCCAGTTGACCGCAACAATAACGTCATTCTTGGGCAGACTTGGCCCTGTGAGCACAAACATGAAAAAGAAAAAAAATGTACAGTGAAAAATTCACTGCAGAGAGAATCATCATGCGAGCTATTAGCGCT